GCGTATTATCATTTTATATTTAGCATAGTCCAAAATTTAGTATTGGTCAATGGGTTCATAATATTTCGTTATAGTTTTATTTTATTACTGTCTAGCTAAATAAAAAGAAAAGGTGACAACTATGTACATGCAAGTCTTCCTTCCCAAAAGCCGAAACTTGCTGCTGTTTTCGTGAAGTATTGACTCTTGGCATGCCCACTTGTTCACTTTCAACTATCAACAGCAATGCTGAAAAAGATAAAGCGCCTTTTTTCTGCTTACTGGTCATAAACTAAAATTTTGGCTCAAAACGTCACTATTTTTCTATTTTATAAGAAAAATTTTTCTGCGTGAAAATTTTTTTTTTACTTTAAAAACTACTTTTTACTTCGTGTAGTTGGGAAAAATTCACGTTTGTAACCCAACGAATCGCGCTTTACGAGATGTCCACTTTTAAAAAACGTAACCCTCCTTATTGCGAAAATACTTTTTAAATTCAAATTTGGGCGGGAGTTTATTGCAGATGGCGTTGCCCACTTTGCAGATGGCCGTTTCCATTTTCCAGCCGGTTCTCCGGCTCACTATCGTTGTCTCCCCAAGGACACCTGGGAACATTCGTCCACCGGGTTCAGTCTCTAACACACTCGTCCCGATTGATTTGTCCAAAAGGGCTGACCCTTCACGTCCACAGTTTTCGCCGTTCGACGTTCCACAACTGAGTAAGTCGATATTGTTACGATATGCACGTCAAATTGTAAATCCGGCCCTTTACAAAACGACAAAATTTTTGCCGTTCTTCACAAGCACACCACTTCAAGGCTTTAAAAGTAGGGCACAACTTTGAGTCTGAAAAGGTACACGATTTATTGACACAGTGTTTCTTTTCACTGGGAAAAATCAATATTGACTAACTCTCCTGATCTAATAAGGGTTTTTAACTATTGTTTTATAGGACAAAGATTCTGTTTATATGACCTAATTGCCTTGATTTAAAAACTATTTAGAAAAATGCTAATTCTAACAAGGTGGTAATTAAATAGCTTAATAAATAAAAAATGTATTTCTTGTTTAACATAAATTTTAAATACAAGGTTTTATTTTGATTTTTTTTTAAACTTAAGTATATATTGGTATGACCACTTGAATAAATGAAAATACAGTCGATTTGAATGTTAATCTGAAATCTAATATGATTTTATCAGGTTTACCTAATAGGTGTTTTTACAGATCCTCCAGAATAAAATTGCTGTAAAAAACATTATTATATTAATCAACATAAACTTACAATTACACTCTCCCAGCGTGTCAAAAAGTGGAAAGATCCTTTTTTAAGAATTATTTTTTAATAATAATACTCGTTATTAAAAAAAGTGCACTTTCGATGGGTGGCCCTTGGAGTATCTGTACTGTAGAAGAGTCATCCTTACCTGGTTAAGAATAGGCCATGCGAGGTTGACACATGGACAATCGCTTTCGAGCAAAAGCCCTTGTATGTGTCCAGCATGTAGAGAAAGGTTGCACGTATCACACGTTATCATTCTTTGGCTCCGTACAGTGAGCAAGTACGAATACCACCTGATATGAGGATTGTGCTTGAGCATGTGGCTCCCCGTTACTATTTTTGGAGGATAGAGGGCTGTTTTAATGTATATAGCACTGAAAGAATTTTGTTTTGTATATTGCGAGAGAATGCATTTATTAATTTAGGGTGAGAGGGTTGATGGTGCAATATGAAGCAGGGAGACCACGAAATGACCCTAATGTCCATCATTTAATGATTTTTTGAATAATTAATGATTATACTTATACATGTTTTACTTCAAAATAATATTTTTAAAAAAAATTTATTTTATATCAGTAATTTTAATAACAGAGACTTGTAACTCATAGTTTTTAATTAAGGTGTACAAAGACTTGCTATGCTTGAGGGTTTTGAACGCAGTTCATTAACATTCATAACATGTAAACCTTTATGCTATGTATTGAGTACTCCACCATCCTAATATGTGGTAGGTGGTAGGAAAGAATGTAAGAGTGTTTGGCCCCAGACTGTAACCCCAGGGTGGGTGATTCTCAAAGCTTGCCGGTAATTTATTGTAAACTAAAAGCAGGAGGCCATAAGAAATCATAGATTCAACTGTACATGCAGAACCAAGCTTATATAAATAAATGTCAGTTTATTACAAAAATAGATGTAATATCCTCTTTATCACTTCGAGACTTAGAAAATACTCCTTGGTCATTATACCATTGAATTTTACAATAAATAATACATAAGGTAATTTTAATAATGAATTAACAAAAATTCATTAATTTAATTTGAGATAAAAAAGCCAATGTCACGGATGGGATTTGAACCTACGGTCTTTGGATTGTTCCCCGTTGCTCTAACATGAGCCACTGTGACTTCTATCTTCAGTACATCGACCTTTCCATATCAATACATAGTTTTTGTGCAATTCCTTATTATTGTCCAATTTACATACGATGACATCATATTGATGTTCAATCATGTTGAAATTCAAAAAGCGGTTGAACATTTATATGATGTCATGATTGTAATTGTTTAAATTGTTAAAAATAGTGTCCACATTTTTTAATTGCCTTATCCCTGACCTTTTATATATAATTGTAGCTATTAATTAATTCACATTTTGACTTGATTATCCATTTAATTTTGTTGCCTTGTAAATCACTGTCTATGTAACTATTGTTTTAGTTGCTCTTATAGAGTATGGTTTCTATAAATAAAATTAGCTATAATATAAATCCTTATTTGCTGAAGACGTAAAGTGTATTAATTCTAATTCAAAATTCTGTCTGTTTTAGAATTTTTTCCACATAGACTTATCGGAGAATTCTGAAAAAAGTGGTATATTAACTTTGGTAACTGCATATTGGTGGTACTATAATTAGCGAGTTCATGTGATAAGTACCAAAAAGTCAATATAATTAAATAAATAACCTTGTGCAGTGGCATTATTGTAGTCAATGAAGTTTTAATGAAATAAATTTAACTAGGACAATTACATTAAACTTGATGAAACACAATAAAAAAATATACCACAAAAAATGGAATTTGTTCCAAAGATCTAAGCTTTAAAATCGCAATCTTGAAAAGTCGTGTTTTTTATTCATCCAGTTTTGCCCTGAGAGAGCAGATTAAATATGACCATTATAATTAATATCAGCCTTTAGCATTACATTTTTACATTGAAAATAAAGGGATAAGGCCAATTAGAAAGAAAACTCATTTCCTTCCTTAAGCCGACATGCTTTAAATATTAAGCTCTTATTTGTGCTTAACTAATAAATAAAATTCAAATCAACTCTTCGTTTTATTTTGACATTTTTTAACCAACATATTGATTTGTATGGGCAATTGTAGAAATAATTGAACATACTGATTTTTATCGTGGTTACATAATAGATTTTTTATTTTTAAACTGGTGCCTCATTTTCTCCTAGCAAGTCTTCAGACTACCACTCTGCTGCATTAGGCAGTTGATTTTATCTGCTGAATTTTAACTTTTTTTTTTTTCATTTCATAATTTAAGCACCATGGACTAAACAAATTTAAATTTATTGATATTCAACTCAACTTAATAAGTGCCATCTATACTCTCACTCTATACATTCATGCTAATGTACGTTAGAAGATTCTCCTATTACAGTGGATCTAGAAACTTGTATCACAGTGAAGACAAATTTTCGTATCGTATATGGAACGAAATATCTTTTCTGTTGTTTCATTTGATTAAAATTGGTCAATCATTTATTTTGAATGTATTTTATACTAAGCTATCATGCATGATTGAACATATTTAAATTATATTATTTAGGATTAATGATTAAGTTATATAAACATGGCTAAGTTTTAATAGTTTGTTGATATGTCGTATAGTATTTAAAGTGTATGTACAATTGCTACTGAGTTGTACGTTATAAAATTATATGAGTGATGTTGAGATTCTGAACAGTTATAAATTGCTTAGTTTTTTGTTGTTGGAATGAGCTAAAATAGAGGCTACATGAGTTCATGTTAATTAGCCCAAGCCTCTAATTTTTGAAATCCCTTCTGTTCTAATTATAGTTGGTTTGGCTTTATCCCAATTTTTTGGATTTAGCAACTCAACTAGCCAGGCTGCTTTGAGCCAAGTTCAGACAATGAACTTGAGAAAGCGTAGTGGTGTCTCATGGTTTCTGTATGATCCCCTCCAATCAAGCATCTCCCCCACTAGGTTCTCGACCCTCCCACACGTTTATCAGTTTTTCAACCAGACCGGCTTCTTAACCATCCAAACTGGGTAATAGAACTGCTTGCTGTGGTAATCCGGAAATGAAAAATTCCGGAAAAAGAGTAAGTGCCCATGTAAGGGTTAGAAAACAGGGGGTTTTTCCATGAAAAATTTTAAAAAATGTGTTTATTTTTGACCACTCCTCACAAATCCAACAGAAAATTTTAAAATACATCGAGTGATAAATATCTTCTCTATTTGTTTTGCCTGTTGAACCCATTCTCCTTTTATGAAAGCCCATATGACTTTTTATTTTCATCAACAATATATAAAATTATTTCAGTTTTTTTTTTTCTTATCTTGGAGTATGATGGGAAATTTTGATAAATCGATAGCTATAAAATAAGTTGTAATTAATTTTGATTGAAATTGATTACATTAATTTTTTTAAGTTAGTATGTGATAAAAGTTTTAAAATTATTAAATCCATTATACTTAGTGGTCTGATTGACCAAATTACTTCTTTCAATTAATTAATCTTTTTATGTAAGGTCTTGGTTGAAATGAAAAAGTAATGTCACGAGTGGGAGTTTTAAAATTATATTAATTCAAGTGTAGGTCAATTCAATGGTAGGAAATTATTTCTAGGTTTATTGATTTGTTCAGATTATTATTATTTTTCAATTTGGTTTATAAACATAATTTAGTTATTACATCATTGTGTTATTTTTTATTAATAATTTATAAACAATAATAATAAATTAATGTATGTTTTGGTTTCAGGGCTTTCCTTTTGATAATGATATAACATCTGGGAAATCCACAATCGATGAACATTTGGACAAACTAGCCCAAAAGCATCCAGAAATCGCAGAGCAGCTGAAAGATTGGAATACCATTCAGAAGAGACCAAGGCACGAAGGTCCGTCAAGTGGTACGAGTAGTGATAACAAAGAAGACGTCCCAGACAGACAAAACGAAGCGCACATCGCGCCAAAAGGAGCCAGCAATTTACGGAATACCGTACCTGACATGCAGCATAACAACCAGGTCCAGGATGAAGTTGACCGGGCTCAGAGATCGCAGTCTGCTCCCCCAGAAGCTTTTCAAAAAGAGATTCCTATTCAGAAAAATGATTATGTAAATACTAACCAGTCGCCAAACTGTACACCGCCTCCTCATCATAACCAGCACCACCAGCAAGGTATGCGTGGACCGACTGTGAGACATATTCCCATTTTTGTGGAAGGAAGAGATGAACCTTTGCTTCCTAAGGAAGCGACTGAAACTACCTCTTGTCCACCACATCCACAACAACATTACCAGCCACAATCTGCAAACCAACAACCGATGAGGCCAGTAAGGAAACAACAAAGGGCTCAGCAGGACTATTCAATTCCCATACCTGTTCAGATGCCTCAAGCACCGCCTTGTGCGCAACCTCAGCCACAGCAGCAACAGCACCAGCCCTCTCCTCAGCCTCCGCAAAACCAAAATTCACCAACACCTCCGCCTCAAGCTCAATCACAGTCCCCTCCACCCCCTCCCAGAATAGATCCACTCGATCAGGTTGCCTTCGTTCAAAAAGAGGTTGAAAATCTAAAAGAAAAGATATATTCCATAAAGTCCATTGCGAAAAACGACAGGGAATATATATATCTTGATGAAATGCTCACAAGGAATCTTTTGAAGTTAGATAACATCGAAATAGAGGGACGAGAAGAGGTGAGAGCTGCAAGGAAGGAAGCTATCAAGCGAATACAGGAGTGTATCACGACCCTCGAATCGTTACCAGACACTCAACAATCAACAGAGCTTGCATGCCTCACAACAGCATCTTCTGAATCGTCTACTTAATTGAATATGTACACTATACACATAGAGCTTTTTTCTTTTTTTTTTCTTTTTTCACAAACTTGAAAAATGTATTTCAGACGTATGCAATTGTTTTTAGAAGGCCTCTCTCTCTACATATATATATGTATCTCATGCCTTGTGTTAACCATATTTGTTTGAATATACACAATACATGTATATATTATATATTTTTATATAAGTATATCTGAACTAGATGCTGTTTTGAATGTTTTTGTGCAGAGTGACCACACTCAAAACCTGTTAAAATTTTGTCAATTGGACAATTTTATTTTACTATTATTAAAATTAGAAAATGAAGTTGCCTTTATTTATAGACGATGTATGTTGAAATGTATAGTCTTCATATTGGATATTTCTAAAACAATTACATTCAAGGAAAAATGTACAATTTCCTTTTTTTTGTACAGTGTTGTAAATTATATGAAAAAAACATAAAAACGATTTTTTTATTGTTGTAAGGTTTCCTTTGTTGTTTTTTTTATAACAATTTTCTTCAGTCCTTATCTATACATACACAAAAATTCATTTTATTTTCCATTTTATAGCATCAATTTAACGTCTACTGCAAAACTTTTTTTCATTGAAACTAGATATCAGTGAATATCAGACTTATAGTATAGTTTTAATATTGTTGTAATAAGCATTAACGAAAATCTAGTCGATTTTTGATAGGGTAAATTATCTAAATTGATAGTTTAATTAATTTTTTTTTAAATTTTCAAAGATTGATAACTCCAAGGTGATTTTTTATCATGTAGAAACCAAAAATTCTTTCCCATTTTATTTTGTAAATTATGAAAATGAACATACTATGTTGTGTTTAATTTTTTTATAACTTGTTTACTGTGTTCACTCTAGGTAATTGTTAAATAAATTAATTTCAGAATAAAGTTAAACTTATTTTCATATCTGCATTATTAATCTACTAAATCCTCTTCTTTTTTTTCTCTTTTTTTTACAATTATTATTAAGCACACTGTCAATTGAAGAGAATTAAATATAAAAATAATTTGTGTCACTGGTGTGCCCTAACTGAAGACTGATGAACTTGACTTGGGCTTCATTTGAAATTTTCTTGTAAAATATGCATGATTAATGAGTATATATAACGTTCTAGTTCTATAATATGTGTGGAATACGTACTTTAGATAACTTGCATAGTCTAAATGAGCAATTATGCTCAAAATACAGATCACTGCAAAACCAGTTTGTGAGTAAAACCATCTTTTTCAACTATTAAAACCGATTACATATTTTTAAAAAAATATGGGTGTCAGCGACCACAGCAGTTTAGGTGTTGATATGGCGCTCATCACTGTAAGGTAAAGGTCCCAGATTCGAATACAGCAGCCATGTATTTGAACCCAACACACTTTTAAATGGGTGTTATGGAAGAGGACAAGAGGAGGGAAAAGAGGCGCCCCTCCGAAACATTAGAAGAGGACCGGCGGCAAGACTGGGACTGTTGGCAGCGCTGAGGGGTTGGTGTTGACGAGAGGGAAGAACAAAGAAACGGGACTAACGGTAGTACGCACGGAGAACTGCGCAGTTGTGGTTGTTTGGGACAACGGCGTTTTGNGAAGACGTATCTGATTTTTTTTCATCAATTTATATTTTGTATTTTTTACTTTTTCTACTTGTATCTGTTTTTTTTATTCTATTATTTTTGTACATATCAAAATAAAACATATTTGTAAAATTAATATCTGTTATTATGATGTTCCTTTTTCTTACAGTATCCCACATGCATAAATTTTATTAGTTTAAAATAATTTTCGTTTTTTCTGGTGTTCTTAGTGAAGAAACAAAAATTGCCGAAATCAAACACAAAAAAGACTATAAGGCGGACAATTCAGCTACAGACGGCGTTGGTTTTGGGTGAGATGACCGATTCATCGAAGTCGACTGGTGAAGGGACTTCCGGGTCTACAGAGGGAAGTAAGCGTCGGTTCGCGGCCAGTGGCGACATCATCGATCCCTTTGACCCGGATGATTCCGAAGTCAATGTCGTCAGGTGGTTGAACAAAATAGACCAACTTGGTCGAATTCATGGATGGTCTGAGGACGAAAGAACATTATTATGCAGCACAAGCTGGCGAAAGCTGCTAAGAAGTGGTTCAATCGTTTTGAAAGGTACGATTTGACTTGGGAGGAGTGGAAGGCGGCGCTCAAAAAGGCATTCCCTAGGCGATACGATTTTGCTGCCGTCTTGGAAGAGTTGGTTCTGAGGCGTAAAGAACCAACTGAGACCATGAGTATTATCGAGCAAAACTTGAATTGTGCACAAGATGCTGCATACAAGGCGAGAATGCAGTATCTTGCATAATTCGTGGTCTTCCTGAAGAATTGAAGGCCAATGCTCATGCGGCTAAGTGTCGAACACCGGAAGCACTTTACAATAAATTTTTAGCCAGTATGGAGACATACTGTGTTACAGGTGGAGACATGGAAGAGACGACCCGTCCACAGGCGAAACGTCCTAAGAGGCAAGAGTCTGTTAGACAATACTGAGGCGGAAGAGAAGAGAGGCTCATCAGGTGTTACAACTGCCAAAAGTTGGGCAGTCATGTCAGCCGGGATTGTCCACTACCCAAGGTGGACAGGTGTATCAATTGTGGAGCAGAAGGACATACAGTGGCAAACTGTAAGTCTCGCCAGGAAGGGATACAGATGGAAATTAAAAAGCCTTCTGGCTCAAGTTTTCAAGTAGAGACGATTAATATAAATTTTAATGATACTTATTTGCGTGTTGGCACCTTGTCGAATGGTGAAAACATCAATATTTACATTGATACCGGAAGTGCATGCAATATTGTTAGTTTGGATCTAGCTAGGCGGATCGGATCCATCTACAGCCCCGATGCAATTCGGGAAATTCCAATAGCCTTTGAAATCCTGTGAGATTCTTTTCCAATCTTCTTCTGATGGTTCAGGCATCACTTCACTCATCAAACCTTCAACTATTGCACGACATGTTTCGGTCACTATTGACTGAACAGTTGAGTGCCCCATCCGGTAGCTGAACGAAATCGTTTTGAACGAATCACCTGTAGCAAGATATCTAGAAAAAAAACATGGTTGATAGTATTACAAGTTTTTTGAATAATTTTGTGACAAGGCCATAATATTTGTTACTATATTATTATATTATTCATACTTTAGAAGATAGGTCAATTTATGAAAAATATTTGTGTGTAATGTTTTGTTTACACAATTTTATCCTTCTCTGTTTATAGGCAGTCAGTGCAAATCCAGGTGGAATAATATACGGGATAACTTCAAAAAGTCTTGGGGAAAAAGGAAAACAAAAAGTGGACAAGCTGCTAAGAAATCAAAACCGTATAGATTTGAAAACCAGCTACAATTTTTGCTGGAATTCATGGAAGAACGTGAAACGAAGGGAAACATAGGATTGCATCCTGACTCAGAAAACGGAGAATTTAACGATGACAATGAAGAAGAAACTCGACTAACAAACAACATTGTTTCTCCTCCACAATCATCGAACCAGCCATCAAGCCCACCATTCGAAGAACATCCTACAACTAGCAATGATATACCCTCCACCTCTGCAGCTTGCTTTGCCAGACCTACCCCTGTGACTGGTAGGAAGAAAACCCCCCAACATGAGACAGCAGCTTCTGCACTTATGAAGTATGTTATCGAGAATAACGAAGGTAAAAAAAATACACCCACCGTAACTTTAGATAACCCTATCGACTGTTTCCTGTTCGGGATATCGGCAACTATGAAATCTATGCCTCCTTATTTACAACATTTAGCCAAGTCCGAGATTTTCTCAACAGTTCAAAAGTACGAGCTTCAAATGCTGCAAAATCAGCAGGGACAGGTGATTCAACATTCGCCTTACACAAATGCTGCATCATTTCAACCTGGTATTGGTATAATTGATGATACTTCTTCCACAGGAAGTGCAGAGAGTGTAAGAGAATATTGGCAGGCTTTTGGTGGAGAACAACCCTGACTCGATGCTGNTTGGCAACGCTGAGGGGTTGGTGTTGACGAGAGGGAAGAACAAAGAAACGGGACTAACGGTAGTACGCACGGAGAACTGCGCAGTTGTGGTTGTTTGGGACAACGGCGTTTTGTATTCTAGCTACTTTAATTAAATTACTTTATATCAAATTCTATTTATTTTTAATAATCCTTACATGGGCTTTTTTTTCAAAATCACTGGCACTCAGAGGGTTTATATGACTAATATGTTGTTGTGAACCTTTTAAAGAAAGAAAAAAATGGTGATTTTACTCAACCAGCAAAATGCAGTCCTGAGTTATATCCGGACCTTTAATTTTGGTCACTTTAGAGCAATGTTGGATGTACGTAAATGTTACACAAGGCTATTTCAAAACCATTAAAAAATCAACCCTTAATCCAAAACCAAAAGTCGCCTAGGTAGTTCACTTCATTTAAGCGGTCAGGCTATCCTCACTGTTCTGTCATGTCAAAGAGTTTTTGCTTCTTGCCAACTTCAGAGGTAGGTGTGTGTGTGTTATATTGTCAACCGTGTCTTTATACAAATGGCCTGGCAAACAAAGCAGATGATTTAAAGCAGTGCCGAAAATTGTGATGATATTTGGAGCAAAATAATCAAAACCAACAAAGTAGAAAATTAAATTCTATCTGAGCACTTTTAAAAAATCAAGAAATGCTGACAAGGTTCTTAATTTGAGAATGTGTTGCCTAAGAATTGCTCTGTGCAATTTATTCATTTATATTGTTTTTATTTATTTAGGTCCATTTGTTTTTATTGTTAAGAAGGATTATGCAAGATATGACATTTGCAAGGATCGTCCTTCCAAATTCCAATATTTAATTCTGCATGCAGTCCTGGCTATATACAAGTGACCTAACAAGCTAAGACATGATACTCAGTGCTAAAACATGTCACATGCCAAAACAAAGAGGATATTTGGATCAATATAATTGAAAATGACCAAAATAGAAGTATACGTTCTCTGGAGACTTCTGATGACCTGTAAGAGGTCCAGAAATTACTTTAAAAAACCCTGGCAACTTTGAGATTTGACAATACTTTAAAACCCTCATAAAATCAATCATTAATCTAAAATGGTTATGGTTATTCAATCACTAAAGTTTCTGCCTGCCAAAAAATGGTGAATTTTATAAATATAAGTCAAATAAAAACAAAAATAATTATGGAACTAGTTAAGAAGTTAAACAAAACAACTATATCATACTAAGTGGGCTAAAGTATTTTGTGATAGTGTCTATCCTGATTTTACTCCATAATAAGATAGTATATATTGTATATTCATAGCACACATTTTTAAAGTTTTTTCCTTTAATAAGATGCTGAAATTGTCATGAAAAATAATATGAAGTTAACCAATTTTGTACTTTTGGTATTTACAAAGACAGTTCATATTTAGATGAGACTTTTAGATGGTGCTAGTTGTTCTTCAAGGCAGACAAACAACCTCCCTGTGCCGATCTCTGTTTGTAAACATAAATGATTCAGGATTTTTAAATTGGGGAAATATTCAAGGCAGATATGTCGGCAGACGAGCAAAATAAAATTTTCAACGAGGCCTACAGTGGAAACTTTGAATATGTCAAAATGAAAATAGAAGAGGACCCAGCCCTTACGACAAAACTTGACTCTGTAGTTTATATTCTCTTTGATATTTTCTTGTGTTGGTGTTTTTGTAAGTTTCCTTCTTTTTTTAGAATGGGAGACACTTACTGCATTGGAGTGTTCTGAGTGGAAAGTTGGAACTTGTCCAGTACTTACTTGATAAAGGAAGTCCTGTCAATCACCCAGATGATGTAAGACTGGCAATATTAAAACAATAGTTTTTTATTTTAATTATCTATGTTCAGATTGGCATGACACCTTTGATACTTGGTGCGTCAGCAGGAAAAGTGCAAGTCTGTCATTTGCTGATATCAAAAGGAGCGACAATAAATGCCAAAAGCGACGAAGGACATTCCGCTCTGCAATACGCCGCTTCCAAAGGCTGGAATGATGTAAGACCTTGCATATTTATTGAGCATTTGTACATTTACTTTTATTCAGTTAATCCATTATAAAAAATGATGTTTCAGATTGTCAAAATGCTATTAATTAACCACGCCGACATAAATATCGCGGATAAAAGAGGTGCTCGTCCTGTCCACAGAGCGGCTTCACAAGGAAAAACCGCTGTGCTTAAAATCCTTCTTGATTTCGGGAACCAAATACAAATAGATGCTACCGATGTGTATGGGAACACAGCTCTGTATGTTCTAAATGCAATTTAAAAAATTACAATGTCTAACATGAATTCATTCTTCTAGGCATTTGAGCTGCGAAGAAAATAGGGAAGAGGAATCCAAACTGCTGGTAATGCACGGTGCCAAACTCGACATTAAGAATAAAGAAGGACATACGCCACTTGACCTAGCGCCGTTACAGCTTGCAAAAACCCTTCGTAACATTTCTTCAAGATCATGATGCTGTTTTATCCCATTTTATGTTTTTTATTTGTGATTACAATGTTTCCTAGACAATATTTGTCTTAAAACAACAAATGTGAAGCTTGGTCGGTTTGGCGATCATTTTTGCCTGAACACCAAATCCTGGTGCTGAGGTGTTTTGTTTTTAGTCTAATATATCTAAATCAGAATTATGTGTTGTTTGTTCGCAAAATATTCAAATAGTTTCTCAACAATTCACAAATTGGTAATGGAGGAGTTGTTATTGATGTATAGGTACATCAGTATTTATATATTTTTTTAATATTTAATATAATGTTATTTAATTTCAAATAGTTGGAAGTTGAGATGATGTCTCAGGGACCAAAGTCAAAAAGATGTATAAATCTCTCAAAAAGGAAAGCAAAGAAACTCCTCTCTCTCAGCAGGCGGGATTTGAGAAAAATTATATATTATTATTACTCATTTAAATTGAAAAATATTATAGTATTTTTGTCAAGGATGTTTTTTTAATACTGTTGTAATATAATTCCTGCATTTAATCTTTTAGCTCAAAAGAAAAAATATCTGATTACCATGTTTGTAAATGTTAGCAAAAAAAAAAAAAAAATGCAATGCATACAAAGCCAGGCTCTGTTGATGACTGATGAGTCACCATGTCAACTCTTTAACTATTGCGACCACTAACACCCACAACATTTATTATTTTATGTTTTATAACTGAACCTAGCAATGATTTTATTATTGAATCTTAGTATGTTTACAGAGCTGCAGGTTTTGATGAACCAAAAACTATTTGTAATGTATTGCAATTTTTTTTTTTTGCCTTATGATCTTTGCATATTAGCCATGACGAATTCTTAGATATGTTGTTCAAATTGGGGGTTATCGGGAAAAAAGGGCCAGAGGCGACGGTGGGAATCGAACCCACGACCGCGGCGTGAAAGTCTCTCATGCTAACCACTCGGCTACCGCGGTCCCCGGTTTGTAATAATTAAAACTATAAAAAGAAGTATAAACAATTATAAAAAACATATATTTATGTTTAACATATTTACTGTACGTTTTAAATTTTCACCATAGGAAGAGTGAAATTTATAAGGGGAGGAGTATATAGTCATAGGGGCACCAATTTAAATGAAACTTTTTTAGATAGACTAGGTTGAAAAATATTACACAAGCCGGAGGATTCCATACAATGGGCCCCAAGAATCAAGAAAAATAATTTAGGTAGAAATATGACTAAAAATTGCGTTAATAAAGCTGCCACTGTTCATATTTTTTTAAGGGATATTATGTCAAAAAATATTAGATTCATGTTTAGTGGTTTGGAAAAATTAGCTGCAGTAAGCCTGTAAAAATATTAAATATTGTGGTGTATTCTGGTTCTGCGAAAGCAAAAAGTTAATTTTTAAATTTGTTAATTGATAAAAGATTACAAATTTATATTTCTTACTTCATTTTCTACAATTGATTTTTTCTTGGCTCGTGGAGTGTATTGACATGAAGCAGGAAAAGCTATTGCATTGTGTTGAGTTAATAATCCAAGGGCAGTAAACAAGATTATTTTGTGAAATGTTTCATCCAGATTTTGCATTGCACCATCTTCAGCAGAAAGCTGGTACACTGATAAAAAAGATTGATTAATTTTATTTCTCTAGCCATAAACAAAATTGTTCCGTTTTTAAGTAATAAATAAATAAAAAAATATTATTGCTGCATAATTATACTAACTTCTACTTTCAAAATGAGAGTATCTAGATCACTATATTTTTTAAAGGTGGCTCCAGAATGCTGCTGATTATTTGCCAGGTCTCGAGATGCTTGTCTTGGCATTTGTCAAATGGCACGCTTACGTTACGTATACACATATGCAGGGTTTGTACCCATGCGGAAACAGCGAATATTTGCCGTGTCGTGCAAGTCCTCTACTTACTATCAATTGTGATGGAAATCGTGGTTACTGTTTAGTGTAGTGGCTACAAACTCAATCTCAGAGTACAGTTGCCCTATCGTACTTTCGATCTGTTTCCTGAAGAGAAGCATTCCAAATTATTGGTTCTGTTTGATCAAGAAACTCGAAGACTGAGCAATCCATTCTTAACCAACAGAAATAATGCTATGTTGTTCTTTCATTTATACCACCTATACTAGTTAGAATCGTTTATTATTAAAAAACAAAATAGAAGTAAATAATAACTGATGATTTATGATTACAGTTGATCCACGTACAGTACAGTTGCTTACCGAATGTGTGGATGCTTTGAGTTTGGCTCCTTTGAAGTGGACAAGAAAACTGACAATTAGTCGAGCACCAAATATTGTTGCTCAGCAAATAACTGAGCACCCATCCCCACCAGCTGGGATTTGGCAAACCTTTGGTTGGCATTCAGCGAATCCAGCTTGCCTGGAGCCACCTTAACGAGAATATATTCTATTGAGTGAAAATCTAGTGGTCTATACAATTATGTACTAACACTATCTCTCTCTGTTCACTCTAGTCTATCTGTTCTTGTTGGTTGCATATTGGCATTTTGCTACTTTTGGTCTCTCATTTTATTAAATTATAAAAGGACAAGAATGGCAGTTTAAACATGAAGACCATAACTGACAATAATGTAATTGTAAAACAGATAGCCTGTGAAAATAAATCAGGATTTTTTGGAATGATTCAGCCGCATCACCTTGCAAACCTCGCCGTAATATAAAATCGTTTCGTTAGCACTGTAAATTTCTACGGGTATAAAATAAGGGCAGACAAAATTATTATCAACCCACTCTACTACATATTTAAGTTTTATTTTTTTGAAAATGTACATATGCCATTCGAATATTTTCATTCATACAGATACACAAATACTAATCATTCAATCAAGACGTACAAACACAAATAAAAAAGAATTCTTTGACACACCTTTCTAATTAATTTTAAATACAAAATTCAAGTAATCTTTTCCAATAAAAAGTGAAGTCTAAAAATATAAATAATTTTTTTTTGTAATTAATTTTTATTAAGTTGACTCAAAATTTGTACAATACAATAGAGAAGCAAACAACTCTTTGTTATCTATCAGGTTCAAAGAATAAAAAATAGAAAAAAATTTATCTCTTGTTTTTAATTTCGAGGTGTTTGAAATAACACCCCTTATTGAGAATAATTACACAGCCCTTTTGAAAAAAGTGACCCTCTATCACATACTTAGATATATCATTCATATGTATAACACCTAACCATCATCACACAAGAAAATAATAATACCGTTATTTTCACATTGTGATGTTAAGAAAATTATTAAAATAATTGAAGATTTAAAAAAATGTGCATCACTTCCAAGATTAAGCGTTTTATATCAGGTCTGATAATCTTATTAAAACTGATACAGCTTCGAATTGAATCATTTAACATCAAAATTAAATGTTCTTCAAGGTTTTTACAAGATACCTCGATCCTGGACTAACTGTTTTATTAAAACGATTGAAAAGACATTGTTAAATATAATTACTAAAATTTAGGGAGGGAATTATTTACAAGAAAACTTGGAGTTTTGTTGTCATTAATAAAATAAAATCTGAGGTACTTAGTGTAATACATCCATCTGTCTTTTTCTTTAATATATATTCTAATTAGTATTATGCACTCCTCACTCCAAGTAGTTTCAGCCGCTGGAACAAAATAATTTGGAAATTATTATTTTTTTTTAATTTTAAACATAAAACATTGGGTACAATGGTATATATACCCTAAGGTAACTAGCCATGCTTACCAAATTCCACGTTCAATTTTGAAGTGTGAGAAGGCATTGATTGATATAATTTGTAACGACTCAAAATTATATATACATTTTCATTAAGAACCTCTCTGTCTATAAAATAAGAGGCGCATAATGGATGCATTTGGAAGAACTTATTATTTATTTGTAAATAATGCATACATATAAATTAAATATAGTTTTACAACAGTGATAGCGTATAGGTAATCTCCTATCCTACTTTATTCATTTTTTTAAGTACAAAACAGGAGTTGAAAGAACAGAAAAACAAACATGTCATTTATAAATATATCAACTTATTTTATTTTTCACCTTTTGGGTATGGACAGGGCATGTAGCTATAAAATTGTCAAAGTCTAGGTCCCAGTTTGCAGCGAGTGCGCAACCGTAATGACTTCTCCCGGAACAATTTCTTACGACACAGCCGATACAAGCGCCGTATTCACCACATCTTGTACATTTCTGAAAAAAAAAAAAACACGAAATCATTTGTTAATTTTTTTTATGTTTCTACTGATTATTCCTGTTGTTTTAGCTCACCGATACAGATGCGGACGCTATGGCATCGCCTAAGCCTATTAAGTGAGGTCCGACTAAAAGCACTCCTGGAGCCCATACTGCACACATCTCATGCACCCAAACCTCTCTTTCACCACTAAGATCCTCAATTAGCGAATTATTTTTTTTATTCTGCAATATTATAAAAAAAATTACCAGAAATCCTGTAAAATATTGGATGATAAAGAGGAAAAAATACAATACCTTTTTTGTGAATTCTTTAACAAATAGGTCAGCAGTGCCAACAGCCCGAAGGCTTTGCTGTATACCTCCACCTTTTTTCTTCTGTTCTGCAGCAACTTCTTTGTCACTAGGAACTTTCCTATCTAAATCCTCTGCTTTTGGTATTGTCAGAATGTAAGGGCCGTACAGGTCACCCGAAGGTTCACCTCCTTAAAACAAAATGGAATATTTAGAATATTTATTATGCAGATGTGCAATAAAATTTACATAAATAGAAGAACTTGCCTAGGCCATTTTCACAGTGTGATCGAAGTTTACAAAATATACAGACCCATGTCAAATCTGCACTCTGTGAATTGTACTTCGCTGACAATGTACTGACATACAGACCACTGCCTTTGATTCGCCCTAAACCATCAAAAATAAATAAAATAAAAACGGTATAATATATGAAAGTTATAAACTACTACCTTCAGCAAAAGAATGTGGCTTCCTTCGCCCCCCAGTTTTGTCTGAGCCTCGCTCCCTTTCTTCCTCCTCTCTGCCCCAACTATTTACAACCCCAACATACGTCGGAGCCTCTTTAGTACCTTCGATATGTATGTACGGACCTCGAGATTTACTTAATACAGTCATACTGTCATTAGAGCCTTCTTTTGTAATTTTAACGTGTTTGGCTTTTTTAACCTTGCTATCCCTTCCTTCATCTACTTTCTTATTTTTTCTTTTTTTCTCTTTTTTTTCTCCAACTGAATCTGTGGACTTGCGCTGTCGTGGTTTTGTAGGCCTGCCAGCCTTCTTTTTCATCTCGGGCTTTGATGGGAGTTTAGATTCATCCGCCGATTCTACTATACCGGCAAACATTTTCTCTAACTCTGATTCTACTTCCATAAACTGGTTTTTTATATCAGGTCCGGTTTTCTCTTGTTTTACTTCATCTGCTGTCAATAGAGTGGAGGGAGATTCTTCAGCTGTGTTCGTGGTAGATATCAAATTGGTACTCGTTTCTGATGAAGGAGGTAATTTAGCTTTAAGAGAAGTAACAGGTTCATTTTTGTCTTCCAAGATGGCTACAACCTTATCTTCTGTTAAAGCAGGAACCTTCGTAGAATTTTTTACTATAACAGATTGTTTCACAGGAGTTTCTTCCCCTTGAAACATATTTTCTAACAAAGATTCTACATGATCCGCTTCTGGTGGTTGACATACATCTTTGGCTTCGGGTTCTACGGTTGTTTTTGCAGAATCAGGAGGTTGGGGAATGGCAGAAGGTGTCTTCTGGGTTTCAGGGTCAGGTAATGTCTCTTGAAGAGGGACTTTTGATTCAACCGGATGAGAAGGTGTGCCTTTACTCTCTGCAGGGATATCTTTACTTTCAACAGGAGAAGGAATCCCTACTTCCAGGCCCTTATTTGGAAGTAGAGGGTGAGCAGGATGACCTTTGTACTCCAAAGGATAAGCCGGCATTTTATTGTCGTTAGAGAGGTAATCGACAGACAACACTCTTTCAAAAGGGGCTTTACTCCCTATCGGCGATGCACTATCTTCTTTAACCTCGTCCTGTTGGATGAGAGGGTTTGGAGCAATAACGCTGACACCAGCAGTACTTTCTTTGATTTGTCCATTCAAAGGTTCTCCGTTATGAGCAGGTTCAGGGCGTGAGGACAAATCTATCCCTTCCGATTGAGGACTGTTAGAGCCGATCGCCATATAAGGCTTGATTTGTGAATGCCAATTCTGGGCTCCAAAGTAAGGAGGCTGAAGCATTGATGTCGACCATGGCCTCAGATGTGACCCTGAAGTAGGTACTGTCGGGGGTAAGTACCCCCGGCCTGATTGGTCTGACATCACCTTACCCCAACATCACCTGCAAATACACAAAATCACATTAAAATGTTATAAAATGAGGAACAAGTTCCTTATAAAATAAACATATAAATACTTCTAGATGTTGGCATATCAAAAGTAAGACCTATTATTGTGTTTTCTATTAAGAATGGTTCTGGAAAACTAGAATAAAAAAGAGCAACTTTTGTTTAGATATTGGATAATCTATACAGTTGCCATTATTATAACAATTTATATTTTGCAACTTTTTCCAAGAACTGTAGCTTGTAATGTAGCTCACTAGAAATCATGAAACAATACACCTAAGAAATTATTGAAACGCCATTCACTTTAGTTTTGAATCAAATCTTTTATTTTTCTTTGTGCTCTTTATAAAGAGTTAGTTTAGATCTGTAATTAAAAGAAAAAACAACATATTTTGCCTCACCAACCGCAAGTAAAATACTCAAATTCTTAATCCAAAATATTATAGGATATTCAGCCCGAGATAAAAAGCAACAGCTGTTTTAGCCAATTTATGACAAGCACACCAAAAGCAATTATTTCTACTACACCTTATCAATTATTATTTGAAAATTTTGTAGTGTTAAGCCAATACAATACTTATTATTTAAATATTACATTAGAAAACGTTACAATAAAAGTATTTTTTATTTATTTATTTATTTTAAGTTCAGTCAAGTAGTTAGAAAAAAAAGGCTCTTAAGCAATGTTCTTTATTGAAGTTTGTGCAAATGTTTGAAAATATGGGAACACTGAATGAGCACAAATGAACACTCTTTGATGTACCGACTGCAAGTGGGAACAACTGCAAGCATTAAAGAACCTAATTGAATGCTCTGCTCCCCCAATGTGGATGCAGCTTATGAGAAATCTTAATAATGGATTATGGTGTCAAGGATATGCAGATAATATAGTCCTAATAGCTGCAGTAAAATTTAAAGAAATCCTTTATGACATATCCATCCAAGAAGAACTACAATTTACAGACGGGTGGTGTAATTTTGCTTTAATTGTCATTCATAGTAGCCTTTTTTGAAAAAGAGGCTAAAATATGTACAAAGACACCCTGACAAAATACCTATGACTCCACGAAATGACATAAGCAAGTTACTTGAGGAGTTTTAAAACCTCTGAACCCAATTAGTGAAAATGATAGCAAAGGGAGAAAATTGATTAGGTCAATAAAGAAAGGTACAATGTGCTGGTAAACAGAGTTATAAAGCACAAGATAAAATACAGGTGTCATAAAATCCAGTACTCAGAACCCATGAGCATTTACAGTAAGTGACAGATGGAAAAAAGCACAAAACTCACAAACATCAGCTTGTATATTGTTTTTAATAACAAGACTAAACTCAACGCATGAATTCTGACCAGTTACCCTCCACTAGGTTCCAAGTATGACAGATATTGAGGGAAATAAAATGGAAGACTGGTAGAAAAATATTAATCAACGAAACTTATTTGACACAAGTACGCTAATGATAAATTAGAAAGGAATAAACTGAAAAATATAAACAAGTGAAGAAAACAATCTAAAAACTGTTGGCACCAATGTACAAACATGAGTCGCGTAGATACTGTAAAACAGAACAACACTACAGTTTTATTAATTTATATCTGTCCATTCTGTTAGAATTTATTCTTGTCCGCACCCAGGAAAAACATTAACACATTGAATGGAAAACTTTGCCATATCTTCTAGGCTAACCAGCCTTTTCAGAGCTCTTAACCGTAGCCTTAGTGAAAAGAAAAAAATTAAAAACTGTTAGTCTTAGAAATAATTCTTTTAACAACAATGGAGATCAATTTAATTTATACATATAGGGGGAAAAAACTTCCCCAAATATATAAATTTATTTTCTGTTGTTATTCCATTCACTTTATTATGAAAAGTACTTCTAACAATTGTACATTGTAATAAACAAACATGGACAATCCATTTATAGAGTTTTCAATTAACAAGTCTTTCATAAACAGACAATAGAAAGAAAAACTACTCAGGATTCCAAGAATGACAGGAGACTTATCTGCAAACATTTTTAAAAATTCTTACAACCTTCTCAAATGCTTTTGGCGATCACCTCCTGGTTAGTTTCGGTTCAGTTAGCCTGTTAGCCAATTTTTCAGATTGTGGTTGTGACAAACTGATATTGAGATGAGTTTGGGAAAAAAAAGGAAAAAAATTCTTTCCATCAAAGAAAAATTGAAGTCATACAAATCCATGAGAAAGAGAAAATTGGCACGCCCGATAGCATGAATAAAACGAATGAATGAAGAAAGAAGTGCTATTACATTGGATGAATTCACCATGTATGAAGTGAATGAGTCACTGTATGAAGTCAATGAATGAAGTGCTGCTTTATTAACATTGGCCCAGAAATGTTACAGCCTCTTCAGAAAAGTGATATTGACGCAAGAAACCCCAGAAAGTGTTTCTTAACTACCATAAGGGTAATGCACTTTTCAAAGTTTGGAAATAAATAAGGGTCAATTCCACAATAGATCTTTTAGGCCGAAGTGGAATAAAGGAATCCTTACATCACCAGTGCTCTGAAGAAAGGAGAAAAAAGAGAGTGTATGTGTATTAATTTTTTTACTTTCACTTAATTTACACAATAATTTTTAATACAAGGACGCATCTAATATGCAAACAAAATCTAATTCCGTCAAGTGTCCACTTATTGGAAGTTTAACTGTATATAACAGTGTTTCTCAATGTGAGGCGCGCATATGCACCACCCAGGGGGGGGGATTTTGAAAATAACTCATTTACATTTTTAGTCAACTATGTGCTGATTCTCATTCGTTAATTGAAAAATGAACTTTTGTCATTTAGTGGGGGGGAAACACTACTGTTCGGCATGAAATAGCTTCATTTATTTGTCAGATCTTGGGTTATTCTGATCCTCATGCATTTTGTACCATTTTTCAATATCCCATAACAATTATTGTCGGTATCTTATTTTCATGATGTTTCAAGTAAGGCTTATCGTCATCGCTGCAGTAATTTAAATTAGTTCGTTAAAATCATTAATATATAAAATACTTTAGTAAAGTATCGCTTTTTCACAATTCAGTATATTTTATTAAGTGTCAAATGAACGATATGTATATTAAATGGTCAACTTATATTAATTTAGTTTTTAAAGGTCCTAATATTCTAGAATAATGACAAACAATTTTTTCTGTGTAAATCTTTGGGTAAATTTAGTATTAATACGCAGATAGATACGAGCTATTCACGTTTTTATGAAAAGGGAAAAACTTAAAAATAAAATTTCAATAAATATTAAATAATACCATAAATGTAATCTTATAGGCTTATACAATTAGTTACCAATACCGATTTTTGCACTTCAACACCTCTACAGTTTTCCCCAAATCTATAAAGCAATGAATTGAAAATAAGATGTGGTATGCATCTCTTAAAGTGTGAAATGTCTATTTTGCGATGAAGTATAGTTTGTATATACTAGATGCCTTTTTTAATTACTTTGGACTTGAATCTCAGGTGTTGTGTTCCAACAAACTCTTCAGCGACCATCAAATTTAATATCACGTTTGATCGCAGTTTCTTTATATTGGTGATTAAAGGAGTATAACTTATTTTAAAAATTGAAGAATATCACTAGATGAGTTCCAGATGGAATAATTTATTAATTCTCATACTCATTCCAACGCTCTACCAACGCCCTACACACGAAACATGGTTTTCGGGGTTTTAAAAAAATTTGCTTACTGTGTTTTATCGATTATTCTATAGCACTTTTACCAACAATTTTTAACTTTATTAAGTAAGCATTTTAATATTATAGATTATATACATTGGGATTGAGGATAGGGCAGAAGGGATTTGAAAAAGTCTTAGTGGAACAGGGCACAAAAAAGGTTGGGAAACACTGGTATATAAGATAAAGAAAGGTAGCACTGTCTGTTGAATAATACAATTTCAAAACAACCATTTCTATATACATTTTACATTATTATTGCATCGACACACAGATGATTTATCATTTGAATTCAAAATTAATTTTACAAAAGAAAAATAATAACACTGTGGAATTAAACAAGCAATTTTCTAAACTATTGAGTACTACCAACTATTACTATGTACTAATACTGCCAATTCTGGTGGTCCTGGCATACCGGGGATACGACAGCTCTTCAATAATGAAGTATAATTGTACAATTCACTAATATTTCTTTTTTTATCATACCCACCATTTGAAATGGTAAAGTGATACATGTTCAACATACCAAATCAGAAAGGATAGGCATACCAGGATGGTTGAAACCAACCAAACTACATAACTTTGTTGCTTATGTACTATGATCAGTAGAAACAGATTAGAATCAGGAAGAGAATAAAGATTTAAGTAAAGAATTTTCTTAGTAAAGAAGATTGACCCATACATTATTAGCTCAACAATTTTAAATGAAAAACATCTTAGATATTATGACCATTATGAAATCTGTTTATATTGTATCATACTTTAAATGATTAATGATCTGTGATAAGAAATGACGTTATAAATTTTTAATACTAACATCAATTAAAGAATTAAATGAGAAAATGTCTTATATTGTTCATTATTACCAAGTATTACTAATAATATTGTTGTTTCTGGTGTACTAGGTACACAAGGGGTAAGATAGCTCTTCAATAGTTCAATATAATTGTATCCATTGTAATGGGGTACAAATGGGTACTATGCGTCTCTAATAGTCCCTAATACTCAACTCCGACTTTCCACCTTCATGAAGCTTACGCGGGTGTACCCTGTTAATTTAACAAACGGAAAGAGGGGTAGGGAGGGACAGGAGCTGGACCTGACACCTCCTAATCCCAAATCCCACACCTTACCCCTCTTCCCACCTTACATCCAATCCTAGGCCCCACTCTCCAGCCCGAATCTAAGGTGTTATGCGATCCGTGCCAATGGATGAATGGTACAGGGGTAACTATGCCAATAATGGAACCTCAAGGGCACCAGGTGACACCCTTGAGTAAGT